TAGGTTGTCCTTGGACATTCACATATGTGTTGTGGCACATGTGCATACACACACACACTCTCTCAAATGCACACAAACACATCCTCATACATACACACATGTACACAAACTCAAACACACCCTCAGACATACACACACACATATTCACACATATATGCTAAATATTATAAAGATAAAAATAAGGAAGACAATTGCATTAGACATCAGGGCAAAGCATATCTAAAACACAAGGGGTTACTAATATACATCAAATAGAATGGCTTTTAAAACCTCAAATGCCAAGAGTTGACAGGATATTGAGCAATGGCACACACCCCCACCCCGAATTATTTGTGGGAATGAAAATGGGTAACTCCTATGGAAAACTGTTTGGCAGTTTTCTTATGGAGCCATACATGTATAGTGACCCGATATGTTCCAACACTGCAACTCCTGGATATCCACTTGAAAGAATCTAAATATATGCTCATACAAGAACAGTGATAACTTTGTTCATAACTGAAAACAAAACTGAAAAGATCCCAGCAGATGGATAAATAAACTGTGATGCTTGCAATGGTAGAATACTACTTAGCAACGTGAAAGAAAATGAAACAAACTGAACAAGTCTCAAGGGCATTTTTCTGAGGGAAGTTAAAGTCTGAATTAGGGCTTCTGGGCTGGAGGTATGGCTCAGCAGTTAAGAGCACTGTCAGCTTGCAGAGAACCTGAGTTCAGTTCCCAGCACCCACATAGTAGCTAACAACCATCCATAACTCCAGTTCCAGGGAATCTGATGCCCTCTTCTGACCGCCATGGGCATTGCATGACACAGGTGCACTTTCATCCATGCAGGTAATACACTCAAACACATAAAATAAAAATAATAAATGTCTTTTAAAAAGTCTGTATCAGGGCTTCTTCAACTTTTTCTACTTGTCACCTCTTTCAGCTCAGAAAATTTTATGCAACGCAGGTAAATGAAACAGGGTTACAAATCGATTTCTTATTCTAATTTTTCCCCCTTAAACTTCATTGTATATGTATTTTTTTAATGTAACCTGCTTCAAGTTATTTCTGGAAAATGTGTTAAAAATTGTCTCTCTTTGGAATAATAATTTAAAAAACAAATCAAACATGTAATGATAATAAATCATAAAGAAATTCATTCTAAAAACAATTCTTAGGTACAAGTATTATTTTATAATTTATTACAGATGGAAAATTTGCATACTAACGAGATGGATGTGCTTATTTATTTTTGCATAAACAAATACTGGATAAATATTAGATACTGCAAGACAGAGAGCATTTTAGAGTTGACTGATATTTTGTTTATCACAGTCCTTGCTGAGAATGTTGTTCAGCATAAAACAGTACCAAAATGGCAGAATCATGTTCCAAAACATTTCAGAAATTAAATTCTGTCCTAGTCTAAAGCCAAATTTTGTTTAGTAATTTCAAAAATGAAACTCAAGTAAAAAACTCAAGTACTAATTTTTAAAATCAACATTGAAAACAAAATCTAAAACGTATCCTGGTTTGATACTTATATGCTCAGGAATGACAGGATAATATTAAAAGTTCTTGTTTTACATAATTAAACCATTATGTTTCTTTAAGAGCAGAAAATTCTGAATGTACAGAAAATCTCTGCAATTCGTAACATGCAATAGTTCAATGTTTTGTTTGTTTCTTTGAGATGAGATTTCCCTATGTAGCTCTTGCTGGCCTGGGACTCACTATATCATCCAGGCCGGCCTCCCACTTACTGCAAACCTCTGCCTCCTAAGTGCTGGAATTATAAGTGTCAGTCACCATGCCTAACTTCTTTACAATTGCCTAGGAAAAATAATGCATTACTTTTTACTAGGCTAACACTTATCTGAACATATTTTACAGATGGCTATTTACACTTAGAAATTTAAATATACTTAAAAGAAATTTTCCACGGTTTAATAATGGCTCAGCATTTTATTCAATGAACTATTCATAATTCAATAACACTGCTGAGTGAACAAATAGGGGTTGCAAGATTTCTGAAACTTTTTTTAAATTTCATTTTTTAAGAGTTCTCCATACTACTTTCTATAGGGGTTGAACAAGTTTGCAGCCCCACCAGCAGTGGATGAGTGTTCCCCTTTCCCCACATCCTCTCCAACATTTGGTATCATTTGTTCTCTTGCTCTTAGCCAGTCTGACTGGGGTAAGAAGAAATCTTAAAGTGGTTTTAATTTGCATTTCCCTAATAACTGAGGATGTTGAACACCTTTTAAGATGCTTCTCAGCCATCTTTATTTCTTCCTTTGAGAACTCTCTGTTCAGATCATTAGCCATCTTTAAATTGGGTCACTTGCTTTCTTGATTCTTTGTTTTTTGAATTCTTTATATATTCTCGATGCTAAACCTGTCAGATGTGTTGCTGTGAAGATCTTCTCGCACTCTGAGTTTTCTCTTCTTTTCTGTGGTTATTTCTTTGGCTGCACTGAAGCGTTTTAGCTTAATGAGGTCCCACTTGTTGATTCTTGACTTTAATTCTGGAGCAATTGATGTCTGATTTATATATAAGTGTCCTACACTTATATCTTGTAGGTTACTGCCAATGTTTTCTTCTAACAATTTCAGAGTTTCAGGTTTCGCATTGAGATCTTTGATCCATTTGGAGTTGACTTGTGTAAGGTGAAAGATAAGAGGTCTAATTTCATTCTTCTATAGGTGGAGATCCAGTTTTGCCAGCATCATTTGCTGAAGATGCTGTCTTTCCTCCAGTGAATGTTCTTGACCCTTTTGTCAAATATCAGGTGGCTGAAATTGTGTGTACTCATGTTTGGATATTCAATTATGTCCCATTGATATACAGGCCCTTTTTGTGACAGCACCATGCTGTTTTTATGATTATAACTTTAAAATTTATCTCTTACATCTAATATCTGCCTGAATTTTCTTGAATAGATTAGATCGCACAGCTAGTTGAGTTGATATCTCAGTTAATTCACTTCATACAAAATTCAGGCAGTAATGATACATACTACAACATGCATGAACTTTGGAAGTATTGTATTTAGTGAAATAATATGGTTACACAGGATATATTAAAAATCCAGAACAGGGCTGGAGAGATGGTTCAGCGGTTAAGAATACTTGCTGCTCTTGCAGAGGACCTGGGTTCAATTCCCAGGACCCACATGTTGGCTAAAAATCATCTGTAACTCCAGTCCTAAGAGATCTGATGCCTTCTTCTGACCTCCATGGGTTTGTACGCTCATAGTTCACATAGATACATTCAAGCAAAACACTCATACACATAAAATAAAAATAATAAATAAATAAATATTTTAAAATTCCAGAATAAAATCTGGGGAGATGTTTCAGCATTTAAGAGCACTGGCTGCTCTTGTAGAGGACCCGGGTTCAAATCCCAGCACCCACATGGCGGCTAATAATCAACTGTCTAACTCCAGTTCCAGGGGATCTGATGCCCTCCTCTGACCTCCATGGGCACTGCATGACATGGGTGCACTTACATATATGCAGGCAATACACTCACACATGTAAGTTTAAAAATTAAATAAGATATGTTTTAAAATCCAGAATAGGCAAATCTATAAATACAGAAATTAATAAGTAATTGCTTAGGATTGGGAAAAGTAGATGGGAGGGCTGGGGACTAACACTTGTGTGGACATTTGGAGAGATAATGAAAATGTTCTAAAAATAATTGTAATGATGGATGGTATAGAGCTTTTTGAATATGCTTTGAATTATATACTCAATATGGGTGAGTCATATGACTTCTCAATTTTATTTCAATAAGGATATTTTAAACCATCAAGAAATGTTTCTGAGCTAAAAATTTACATAGTCTGTAAAATAATTTTCAAGATAAAAGACTTAGTTATTAGCCTTAAATATTTAGCTCTAATAGAACATACTATACCTTATGAGGGAAATGAGAATATACACTTAAATCTGACATGGTCATTTCTACAAAAGTTTATCGTCACATAGAAAGGTATGAAATCAAAAGTCACACATTAATATGTAATAAATAGAGTCTTCTGGTTTACAGCTAAGAATATTCAGTGACATTAAATTACAATATGCCACATGATCTTAAATTCTAGCAAACTAAACATATCAAGACTTTGAAAAAACTGTATGATCCGTGTGTCAAAATTAACTCTAAATGAAAAACTAGTTAAGCAACAGACGAGGCTAATTATATTGGGTTAACTATTCTTTGTCTCAAAACAACAACAAAAAAATCTTTCTTTGCCAGACTGAACATAATAGCCTGTGAACTGTAAGATCAAGCAGGCAAACTGTATGTTTTCTAAAATATGAGCATCCTTCATCAAGTTTTATACTTAGGGCAGCTAAAAGACCTATGTGGAGGGATCAGCATTAAACCCAAAGGAGAAGGAGTGCAAGGCAAGAAAGAAAGCAATTCCCTCATGGCTTTTGCAGGTCACTACCAAGGACCATGTTAGCAGATCTACACCAGACCCTTAACAGGCAGTTCTGCTGCTACCAGTAATTAGCTTGGACAGCTCTGGCTCCAAGAGTAGCAGCAAGGCTACACCATAATGAGCTCAGCTGGGATTAGCAGGACAGGGCAGGGAACCAAGAGAGCTCAGGCATTCTGCATTGCGTATATATCTAGGAGATCAAACAAGGATGGCTGGCTAGGTTATCCCCTCTCCACCTCATTCCAAAATGAAGCACGGCAGTGTCTAAAATACAGGCTAATGAAGAGCGACACCCCAACAGATGAGAGCCACATTAATTAACACAATCCCTAGATCATATTATACAGTTTCTGTTAAGCTAGCAAATGTGTAACTTGCTATTGCATTATATATACATACTAGAAAAGCCAGACTTTTGCTTTTGTTACTTTTATTGACAAATCCCAGATAATTTCATTTTCAAATTTTAAAAGGTATTTCTATAAATGGACTTCGAGAAACAAATTTCTCAAAGTACTTATCCAAGTTACTGTTGTTAAAACAGAAACTCACTTTTGAACCATTAGTTCTTGGTTTTCCCTTTTGAAATATGCCAGTTCATTCCACACAGCATCACAGTCCTCTTGTTGAAGCTGCTGAGAATCTGCTCTCTTCATTTTTCTGATTTCAGTCCTGTATTAAACATTAAAAATTTATATCATATTCCAAGTACTATAAGTTAATTTATATATTCCTTAAAATTAAAGAAATATATAATGACCAGATTGCAATTACTATTTCAAGTTTAATATTTCTTGGAACACATTCTTAATATCTAAGCATGTCTAAAAAGTCCTATGTCATAATTTCCTAAAGCTAAACTGCTACCATGAAAAGCAAGCATTTAAGCAGACATATGATATTAATATAGGTTTATTTCTCTTGCTCACTCTAGTATAGTAGTAATAAAATATACACTGTTGGATTCTAACAATCTCCGAAAAAGAATAGCAGCAATGATTCATCTAGAATTTGCTGACACCAAATCTGCATGTAGTAAAGGTGCCATATCATGAACCAAGGTATTAATGGAGACTATGTCAGAAAGCTACACATTGGTTGAGCAGAGGTCAATCTTAAGAAAGTTGCTTTATCACTCAGTAGAGATAGAATGTGAAACATTTTCCATTCATCAGAGGAAAAGCTTAGATGTGACAATTATCTACAAGTGAGGCCAAAAGCCCTTTATAGTTTCATTTTCTATACATAAAACAAACTTCATTTTTAGTTTTTAAAAGTGCTATGCTAGCCAATTTAAAAACTGTTTCCTACAGAACAGACCAACGTGTATTATCAACATTGCCCTGAAGGATCCATCTCAAACTGGGAGGGTAGTAGATTTTCTGTACTCATTCAGTCCTTTGCCCCTGCTGATAATGTTAACCGGGGAGCCATTTACAACTAACCAAGATCTGAACACCTGTTCAGAGCAATTGAACTGAGACTGCCAATTCATTCAGATAAGCTGAAGAAAAACCTGATGGATAGTAACAATCTTCAAATTTCAGACTAGGCTGAAATAGTTTTAAGATTATATATATATATATATATATAGAGAGAGAGAGAGAGAGAGAGAGAGAGAGAGAGAGAGACACATCTTTCACATTTCTAAAATGCAAAAAACCATTAAAACCTGAATAATTTGGGGGCTATAAAAATTATAACACCAGTATTTTATTTTATAAAAGCAGATATTCAATAATATGGATATTAGCTGGTTTTGCTTTACAGACTTTTATTAAGTTATTCTATTGATGCTAAAATATATACCAAAAACTCATAAACACCTTTGGCCAATGAGATCTACAAATGATAAGAAAATCAATGGCTACAGCTAGCATATTTTTCTGTTTTCATTTGTTATGTTCTCCATTAAAATATTCACAATAAAGATCTGACTACCAAATAATTTCTCTGAAACCAAACAAAAGCCATTAAAACACCTATATAATGCTCTCCATTCCATTTAATATTTAGGGAAATGCCTTTATGAGCCACGTAACTCACATGCCACTGTCTTCTTCCCACTGTTTTAATTGCTCTTTTAGTGCTCTGTAGTTGGTCTGTAACATCTGTAGCCTTTCCTTGCGTTTTTCATGGGCATCTCTTAGCTCATAATTTTCTTGGCTCTAAAGAACACAAAAAGCAAGTATACAAGCATAAAAGGTACTGGTTAACGTTTCAAAGATTACCCCTCTAGACATTAAATTTGAGAGAAGGCAGTATGTAAGCAACGCTTATTTAAGTTGAAATTTTTTTTCTTCTAGTCAGAAAACTTTTTAAAAAATATTTTATTTATTATTTTTATTTTATGTGTATGAGTGTATTGCCTGCGTGTAAGTGCACTCTTGTTGTGCAATGCCTGAGGAGGTCAAAAAAGGTTGTTGAATTCTCCTAGAATCGGAGTTACAGATGGTTGTTAACCACCATGTGGGAGATTGGGAATCAAGTCTGGGTCCTCTGCAAGAGCAGCCAGTGTTCTTAACTGCTGAGTCATCTTGACAGCCTCACCAGCTCATTACATTTTATGCTGCTTAGGTAATATCAAAATTTTACCTGTCAAATTAGTTTCATTCTTTTTTTTGCCACTAATTCATATACATACAAATAGTCATGAATTTATTTTAAAAACTTCTGCATTTTTTTCAACCTAGAAGGATTTGTTCATACATAATGATTATTATTTGGTTAAAAGTATAAGGAAATTATTTGGTTAAAAGTATAAGGAAAGTCATAGTAGTAGCAATTCTTCGGGCCATGGACCCATATTCTTAGAGCAATAAAGTACAATGATTTCACAAACAGAAGGAAACAAGGCTGGACTCATGGTAAAGATAGCATTATTTCACCTTTGGGTTCTACCATGAAGATTGAGAGGGAGAAAATAAGTTAGTGTTTTGGAAGAAGTCACAGTATAGATAGCAAATGAGGGAATATTCATTAGATATAGGCATAGTATAAAGTCCAAAATCCTAGTCCTCAGAAGATAATAGTCATACTTCCATGCTATTTATGAAGTATCATTATCTACAGTAAACGGTGTTTTGAACTTGTGTGTTTATTTGCTAGGGGCAACAGGTTCTCTCTAACTTACAGTGGCATGAAACGAGAAGGCACTCAGGCAGACCTGCATTCTGATAGGTTTTTCTATTAGCTGTAAAGTCTTACAAACATAATTTAAATTCCATTATTTTTCTGTGAAACACAGAAAACAGAGGCTTTACAGTCAGAAGCACTAATGGTGGGCCTTCCCTAGAGAGGCACAGAGCAAAAGTGAGCATCTTTTATGTCCCTTTCTCAAACATTAACAGTGACATCACTGTTCTTCAGAATTCACTATTTTCTCAGCTACTTAGTTCTCATTTAAACTTTGAGATAATATTTATGGATACTTTTTCACTCTGCTTTGATTATAGTTCTAGTAGTAGTCTCATAAGTACTGGAGTTATATTTATACCAAGAAGCAGTTATATACCACAGAGAAATGGAAATTTTTTATTTAAAAATGAAGGCATGTGAATGGTATCACTTAATGGAGGCATTCAGAAAAAAAGTATTTTTCTAATAGAATTTTGGAAAAAATAAAAATCACAGTTGCTGCAAACTTGCTAAGAAGCAGCACAACCATTAAAAGGTAAAATACTCAGTTCAATTTTTTTCATTTTATTGAAAAACCATGTATGGTCTATTAAATGTGGGGCAGAAGAATGATAACAGTCACAATCTTACTGTCCGATTGCGAAATTTTACTTGTGTGATAAAACAAATTCAGTGTGCTTCCATTTCTTCATCTTCAAAATGGAAGCGTTGTCTATCTCTTCTTCTAAGGCATAAAAAATGAATTAAAACTTGTAATTTTCATACTACATTTGGTAAACAAACTAAATGTTGGTTCATTTTTAGGAATTTTAGCCAAATATCTGAGAAATTTATTAATAATTTAATTATAAGAAGTGTATACATTTAGAAGATATTAAAGTCAAAATATATTTAAAAAATAAGTTTAGCATTAAACTAAAAGAATTAAGTGGAGCTGGAAAGATGGCTCAGTGATTAAGAGCACTGGCTGTTCTTGCAGAGGACAGGGGTTTGATTCCCAGGACCCACCTGGCAGCTAACAACTGTCTGTAACTCCAGTTCCAGGGGATCTGATGCCCTCTTCTGTCCTCTGAGGGCATTATATAACACAGGTGCATTTACACACAGACAGGCAATATATTCATACACATAAGATAAAAACATTTTTCAAAAATAATTATGCAAAAACTTCTACAATAGCTTGCCATAATTATCCTTCAGGAAATCAAATTTACCCCCAATAAATTCTTAATTTAAAATGAATTTATTAAAAATTATTACATATAATCAGGGCTGGAGAGATGGCTCAGTGGTTAAGAGCACTGAATACTCTTAAAGAAGACCTGGGTTTGATTCCCAGCACCCACATGGCGGCTACAAACCATCCTTAACTCCAGTTCCAGGGGAATCTGAAGCCCTCTTCTGACCTCTGCTACACTTCATGACACAGGGACACTCAAATACATGCAGGCAATACACTCATACACATAAAGTAAAAATAATAATAAAAATAAAATATTTTTAAAAAAGACTTGAAGGCCAGGCGTGGTGGCGCACGCCTTTAATCCCAGCACTTGGGAGGCCGAGGCAGGTGGATCTCTGTGAGTTCAAGGCCAGCCTGG